AAAAGTCTCTGCTGCCCCTCTATAACACATACACACATGTGCGCGTGCACATGTACAAATGCCACACACACACACAGTGCACAAAATCACTTGTACTGGTTTCCATATCTTTCCAGAGTTACTTTAATCAAATATAAGCACCTAGAAATATGCCTTTTTTTAATAAATAGTAACCCACTGAACCTACTGTTTTATACCTTGCTTTTTTCCATAAGTAATGCGTCTCAAGAACTTCTACGTCACTTCAGGGTCCTCGTTCTTTYACTGGGCTGTATGGTGTACTACTTGATAGATGCACATATTTTATTTAACTAGATCCATATTGTTGGCCATTTGAGTTGTTTCCAATCTTGTATCAAAATAACAAAATGAATGATCTTGAATATGTCATTTTTTTTAATGGATGCACATATATTAGTGGGACATGTTTCTCAAAAGAGAATTGCTGGGCTAAAGGTCAGTGCATTTGTAACTTTGATAGATGTTGCCAATTTGCCCTCCTTCGGTGTTACATTAGTTTATTCTCCATAGAGCAGTGTGGAGAATCAGTTTTCCCACAAGAACTCTGACAGAGTGTGTTAACAAACCTTTCGCTTTTTATAGGTGAAAAATGGCCGTTTTAATTTGTTTCTCTTATGCACTATTCTTCACACCTATTCATGTATGTAAGTTCCATCAACATCACCTTCACTGTAAACTATTGAATGTCTTCTTCCCATTTTTCTACCAGGGTCTTGAATTGATTTCTAGTAGCTCTTTGTATGTTAAGGAAGTTAGTCCTCCAACTATGTTGTGAGTTGAAAATATTCTTGTCCAATTTTCCATTTTTATTTTACTCATGCTGCTTGGGCCATACAAAAGCTATTTTATATTAGTTTATGGTCCAATTTTTAAGCTTTTTCTTCTAAGGTTTATAGTCATAGAAACGTCTTCCCTGCTCAAAAACTGTAAAGTATATTAAAGCTTGTTTTGCTGGTGCCTTTACATTTTCTTTGARTACATTTGAATCTTTGATCTACTTAAAATTTATCTTTTGATAAAAACTGGATCCCCTGTCATTTTTTACCCAGTTTCATCTTTCTTGAATTACTCTGCCCTTGGCTTTCAAACTTCGTGTTCTACCACTTTCCAAACCTCTCCTTCTCAAGCTATGTCAGACTCCCCTTCTTCTGTTTGCCTTCAGATGTTGGAGATCAGCTTTTAATGGTCACTGATCCTCTGCTCTTCTCACTCTTCCTCCGGTCCCTGTACCTCCCATTCACTACCAGAGCTTTGATGCCTGGTSGGAGGACTTCCAATTTACATCTCCCCTGAGCTCCAGACTTGGACCACCATCCACCCATTTGGATTTTTCCACTTAAATGAGAATCTCAAAGGCCAATTGTCCAAGTCTGACCTCATAYACCTCTCCAGCTCTTCCCCAGCTCAGAAAATGCTGGAAAATGGGCTCGTGTGAGAAGYCTGGGGGGCAGCACCACTCCCCCATTTCTCCTTTCCTCCACGTCCATCATCATCAAGACCTGCTGACTTTGTTTCCAAAACACACCTCAGATCATGCACTTCTCTCCATCTCCTCTGGCTCTGCCACAATCTAGGACAACATAGTCTTCCAGTGGGCCAACGAGCACACCCTCCCAGCTGTCTCTCGTGTCCACTCCTGCCACGGGGAACTTCTAAAACTGTAAATCTGATCACATCATTCAATCCCAATCTCCCCAACTCTGTTACACACACACACACACACACACACACACACACACACACACACGTTCTTTCAATAATCCTTAGGAAAAGACATGAGATCTTTAGCAGAAACGGTTTTTAGAGCCATGAGTGGAAAATTACCCGTGGCAGGAAGATACATGAGGAGCTGACATTTGCAGTGCCCCCGAAAGGAACAAATAGGCATTTACTGGGTGAAAAGGGCTCGGGGGTTCCCACCGGAGGAAAGAGTGTCTGCAGACACACAGGGGTGAGCAGAAACTCATCTTGTGTGACCAAAGAATTATTTATGGTAATAAAAACAATAAGAATGAGTCACAGCTAGGTTTTCTGAACAGTAGTGCCTTGCACACTCGGAGGCCCTAGAACTGGAGTCTGGGGTGGGGATTCCTGCAAAGGTGACAGGAAAGAAGGGCTCTCAGGCGAGGGGAGAGAAGGGAGCAGAACAGGCCAGGACGGGGCCGAGCACGGACACTGTCTCAGCTGGGCTCCATGGGGAGTTGCAAAGTCGGTCCCCCTCTGAGGAAATGGGGTGGGCTTCCAGACCACTATCTCTGCCTCCTCTGGTTCATGGATCCCATGGGCAGAGGCCTCTATTCCAGAAAAGAGGCAGCTACAAGTAGTTGGCAGTCAGCCCTCACAGTAGCTGGACATAGGTGCCCTGGCCTGCTAAAGAATCTACTGAGTCACCCACAGAAGCCCTGCCTGCACCTCGTTTCCTTCTCCTAGCACCCCAAGAGGCAGGCTGACTCTCTTCTTAACAGGAAGGTGACAGCATTTGCATGCAATATCTATTCCATGCTGGGGCATGACAGAGCTAGAATTTGAATCCAGGTCTGCAGAGGTCCAAGCCTCCTTCCTTTCCTCTTCATCTCTTCCCAGGAAATCTCCTTCTTCCTGAGCCAAACGAACAGGAAATAACAATTCCTGCAACTCCCGGATATGGCTGCTCTCAGCAGGAGGAGAGCTGGTCTCTAACAAGCCCTCCAGCCCCGAAGGCTGTTGGTGGGGCTGCAGCCTTAGTGAAGGACCAACCATCTCATTCTCAGGTCACCTGGGAAAGATGGCACAAAAGAAATGCAAGGTCCAGGGATGGGGGAAGTGATAATTTATGAAAGTGAAGGCAGCTATGCAGGAATTTTGTGGAGACTTGCAAAAACCAAACAATGGAGTGTGCGTTTGCAAAAGCAAGTTCAAGCCCACAAGGGCTGGCTTGAAAATTTTTAAAAAGGAGGACAGTTGGCTAATACACACCCAGGGGAGCCTCAGTCCAGGCTGAATTTTCCAAGTAAACAAGATGTTATTTCAGGAAAAGTTTTACATTAAAAAGCAAGTCTTTAATGTAAAATGATCAAATAGGACTTTCTAGAAGGAAATGTTTTCCAGAAAAGGCTTCCTACTCACATCCAGAGCCTCATCCATCACAGATGCCTGACTTACATTTGCTGGATGGGTGGATCTACTAATTAACAATATCTATAAAACAATATCTATAAAATAAAATACATTTTATGACATTTAGCGGGTTCAGTCTCTGGACCTGCTATTGGCTACGAGAGCTGTATTTTGCCCACACATTTGTCACCTTCAGTAACTGGGACAGTTTAATTCCTGCAGTCAGTGAGACGGCGCACAGAGAAAGGGTGCCTGTGTTTGTGTGAGTTCAAGTAGACGCTTCAGAGAAAATACTGGAAGGCAATACACAGAACTCCTGCCATTAAAGAGTAGAGGCTGGTGGAGTACCCCTGAGCCACAGGGCACTGTAGGTCTGGGAAGAGTCGGAGATATTCTTTAGCAAAATCAGCATGAACTAATCCCCTATGTCTCCTAGATGAGCAATTTTATATAAAGACCACAAGGCTTGGCACCCCTCCCATCAACAGGTGGAGTCTACTTCACCATTCCTTGAATCCAGACAAGACTGTGTCTGGCTCTGGTCAATAGAAAGAGCTGGTGGTACAGAGGTGCCACTTCAAGTCTAGGCCTCAAGAGGTCTTACCACTCTGCCCTGGTTGCTCTGGGAACCCTTCCCCTGCTTTGTGAGTGACCTCAGGCTAGCCTGCTGGAGGATGAGAGGCCCCATGGAGCAGAAGCAGACGCCATACCAACCAGTCCTTGGGGCTTAAAAGATCCTAGGCAAAACAGAACAGCCACCCAGCTGAACCCAGCCAAACTGCCAACCCATGGAACCAGAAGCTACATAAATATTTGTGGTTTTGAGTCACTACATTTCAAGGAGTGTGTACAGCAAAACTGATTCCGTGTAAGATATCGAGAATGCATTTGCCAAAGTTGCTCACATAAGGTTGCCTCGTGCCACTGGACGGATTTAGTTAATCTCAGAGGATCTTGATGTCTTCATCATAAAGTCTCTGGATCCTGAGAGTCTCCCTAACTTGAGACTGGGTGGCTCTTCTGRTCTTGCCTAGAATCTTTTAAGTGAGCTGCATAGACAGAGCGGGGAGGTCAGCTCCAGGGCCAGGCTGTCCTCCAGCTCCCCAAGTCTGTCAGCAGCCAGGAAACTCCAGCACCCTGAGCGAGTGCCACCCTGAAGGCACCACTGCCTTAGGGAACATCCTCTGTGATACCACAGCCTGTGGTGAGGACTCTCCCTGGGGTCACAGTCCCCAGCATCCTGGCCTTTAGTGAGGACAGTCCCCAGAGTCCCACTTGGCAGTAGGGACGTTCCCAGGGAGGAGAAATGTTAGTTTTCAGCTCTCAGTGGAAACTCTGACTCCAGCAGGCATGTGAGACCCCTGGAGGACTGGGCATGGGTTGGGACAGCCGTGCCCAAGGAGTGCCCCACAGGAAGCCTCTGCTCTCCTCCCTTTGTGCCACATCACAAGCCTCTCCAGTGGCCTTAGACAACTCACAGGGGGTGAGTCAGCCTTGCCACCCTGTGCCTGGGCTTGGGCACGTCCATACACAGCAAGTCCCCCGGGAGCCGAGCCCCAGGCAGGCAGCACCAAAAACAGCCACTCACTGAGCGGACATTTGCCACGCGCATGCGGAATGTGGGAAGTGCACTTGATTTCCAGCAAGTTCTCGATGATGTCCATTTCAAGTCAACAGTCACCAGGAGGTTGATTTACAGCAAACACTACGGTCCCAGTTTGCCCCTTGTAAGGACTCAACTGGTATCTGTAAAGATTCCGAGAGGGGACGGTAGAGAGCCAGGCCCCCCAGCTCTGTACCGCTCCAGCCTCTGTACCCCAGGAGCAGCTGGGCTCCAGCCAGCCCAAGGTTGAGACCCCCACTCAAGGGGGACGCGCACCCACCTGGCTGGTTGACAGGAGCTCTGGGTTTCCGTCACTCATCCCCACGTAGGCACTGTCACCATCAAACTAGAACAGAGAGAGAGAAGCAGCTCTGATTAACATGTTCTCAGGTGGCACCCGGAGAAGCAGCCAGAGGAGGTGGGGGGACGGTGACCAGTGGAGGGGCTGTGGAGCCTGCAGGTGCAAACCCTGGAGCCCAGGACACCCCAGGCCTCGTTCCAGCTGGGCTCTCTGGGGCGGAAGGAGCAGCCCCTGCTCTGTGGCCCCTGGAGGTCAGTTAGCCAGTAATCACCAGGAGAATCCAGGCAGGAAAAGCTCTCCGCCCTCCAGACCTTGTCCACAGGCACAGGGGCCGCCTGGCCAGGCTCCAGCCTCCCAGCCCTAGAAATCCACAGGAGTCTCTCTCTGGGCAGGCGACCAGCTAGGTCTGGAGTCCTGGGTCCCAGGTCGAGGCCAAGATCTCCAGAGCTTTTGGGTCCTGACAGCCTGCTCCAGACAGGCCCCTAAGTCATCCCATCCAAAGTGACTCTGCCCCTTCCCCCTAAGGCCACTAGAGGCTGCAGGCAGCGAGGGCTGAAACCATGCAGAGGAACAACAATCCCAAGTCAAGGAAGCTGCAATAGAGAGCAGGTGCCGGGGGAGAACCCTGACCTTGAGCTGGCTTCTGAACCTCTAAGGTCCTGTGCACACATGGGTGGCAGTCCCCTCCTCACAGGGTGTGGCCATTCAGAGCACGGGACACATATGGCGCTTCACTGAATTCCAAGTGCTTCCCCACCTCCAGGGGGTGTCTTCCCAAGAAGCAGAGCCTGAGGCAAGGGTTCAAAGCCCTCACCTGTGAGGCTGGGAGGGAAGGGGACAGGGCATGGTGGAGCTAAGTGAGGTCAGAAGGGGCTGGAGACTCACTTCAACTTGATCCCTGGGCAGCTCTGGGCTGTGGACTGCACTGCAGAGTTAGGGGTGGCCTTTTGTGGCCTCTGCAAATTGGTCACTGGCTGTGGGCTGCCCTTGGGGAACATGGGGAAGTATAACCTTCTGAGCAAGGTGGCCCCCACTGGGCCAGGGACAATATTCAGAGGACCCACTGTGAGCCATTTGCAGTCAGCAATCATAGCACTGGGGATAGCTGGCCATTTTTTAAAAATTGAGCAATTTATTAGGATATATTCACACGGTCAGAAATTCCAAAAGTACAAACGGCAACACAGTGAAACGCCTCCTTCTTCCTCCACCCCATCACCTGCTGCCCTCCCCAGAGAGTCCCCTCAGAGACCCTCTGCAGTCTGCAGGCATACTGCTCATCCCTGACTTTGTGTGTAGCAGTGCGTCCTGGAAAGTGCTTTATGTCGGGACGCCGGGACCTGGAGTGCCGTAGTTGGGAGGCAGCGCACCCCTGGCGGGCAGAGCACAGGGCAGCCGCGTGTCCTAGCCTTTGCTAGTCCAGCGCGGTGGCTGTGAGTATTCCTGTGCCCTCGTCAGTGTGCGGGAGTGTGAGTTTATCTGCAGGATCCACTTGTGCAATCTCTGAGTCCAACAGCATGAGCCATGGTGCCTGTGACAGACACCACCAAGTGGCCCTCGTGGAGGCCGTGAAAGGAGCTGTCCGTGGCCGCCTTCCCTCAGAGGCCTCGATGCCAGCCCGGCCTCGGCCGCCACCAGGCTCTGAGCGCCCACCTGCTGCCCCCACTCCCCATGCTTGGCCTTGCCCTGCCTGACCTTGCTCTTTCTTCCACAGCCCCTGGCCTTCTAGCATTCTCTGTGACTATTTACCAGGTGATGGGGCTTGGCTATGAGGTGTCCCCCCAAAGCTCATGGATGAGGCAATGCCAGAAAGCTCGGCGGTGCAATGATTGGGTTACGAAACGCGCGGCCCCAACCAAGGGCTTTATCCATGATATGGACTAAGTGGGTGGTAACTGCAGCAGGTGGGGAGTGGCTGGAGGAGATGGGTCACTGGGGACATGCCTTTGGGGGTTGTATTTGTCCCTGGTGAGCAGAGCTCTGCTTCCTGATTACCCTGTCCTGAGCGGCTTTCCTTCTCCACGTCCTCCATGATGTTCTGCCTCACATCTTGCGCCCAGAGCAAAGAAGCCGACTATCCACAGACTGAAACCTCTGAGCCCCAAATAAACTTTTCCTCCTCTAAAATTGTTCTTGTCAGTTCTTTTGGTCACAGAGGAAAAAAAAAAAAAAGACTAACTACCACGTTCATTACTTAAAGTTGGATTCCCCTTTTAAATTAGAGACTCCTGAGAGTCAGGAATCTTAGTCCGTCTGCACACTGATGCCTCCCAAGCTCTGAGAAGAGTGCCTGGCCTGCAGTAGATGCTCAATGAATGCGTAAAGGAGTCAATTCGGAGGTTCGGATGGTTTCTGACAGGCCAGGCTTCCAACTRGGCAGTGGGACTGGCTGTCTCTCAGCAGCACAGATGGGCAATGTTCCTTGGTGACTGCTGGATTATCCAAGGGAAAGATTGGGTCATTCCTAGAGTCTGGGCACTGGCCCCAGGTGCAGGGCTCCGCCCACCACATTGCTCCCAGAGCTCAGACTCCAAGGCACTGCTCACAGGCTGCCTCCAGCTGTCCCTCTCACAGCCCAGTCTGTCCCACATCTGTCACATGCCCCAGAGTAGAAGCAACATGGGGGTTGGAGCTGAGTCCTGGTCATCTCTGAACATCAATGATGGATAGAGGCTGGCATCAGGAAAGGCACTAGGAATTTGGCAGGGTAGAAAAACTTCCAACAAAAACTACTGGCTAACACTTGATTCATCACCATGGCCACTGAGCACTTTGATAAAAGCAAAATCTTTTCAAAAAAGATACATAATGTGTGGGCTGGGGATGTGTCTCAAGCCGTAGCGTGCTTGCCTGGCATGTGTGGGGCGTCGGATTCGATCCTCAACACCACATAAAAATAAAATGAAGATGTTGTGTCCACCTAAAACTAAAAAATAAATATATATATATATTTTAAAAAAGATAGATAATGCATAACTCTATCCTAACAGAATAACTGGAAATGGAGGAGGACGAAGTTTAACTCAGCACGGGAAACATTTCATATAGCAGTAGCAACCAAATGGTAAGGTCTGGCTAGAAGCATAACATGAAGTGACACAGGAACAGAGGAGAAAGGTGTCCTCAAAACCTGTGACAGTCACCACCTGTAAATACTCCGGACATGCACAGAGGGCCGTGGACACGTAGCCGGCGAGTGCGTGAACACACCTGGCGATGAGAGTCGGGCTTCACATGGAAGAGCTCATCTAACCTGTGCGACAGCCCAGGGGAGAAAGTTCTTTTCCCTGGAGGAGGGTCGCCTTGTCAAAAGTCACACAGTTGCGGGAGACTCGAGCAACATTTCAGGTTTTGCTTTGTCCTTACTCTACCTCCCCAGGAGGCTGTGAGCCCCTTCACAGCAGAGACAGAGGCCTTTCTAGATCCTTCCATGTAGTCAACCATTAGCTCAGGGCCTGGCACACAGCAGATGCTTGACAATGCAGGAAGCTCAGGAGAGGGAGGAACTGCCCACAGTGAGCCGTCTGGGCTGTGGTCTCTCAAGAAGACCCTGATGGGGGGTTGCAGGAGCCAGCGGGTGGAACAGGCGAGGCCAGTGGATTCCCAGAGGTCTCCAGGGCATGACCCAAGTGCTGATCCACTCACTTGTTTATCCAGCTGTCATCTAAGAAGGAGTTGCTACGGGCCAGAGCCAAGCTCGCTTCTGGCTTTCTGTGAGGACTTGGTGGAGGTCCCAGGCCAGGCCCACGGGATCCTTGCCCAGTGCCCTGGAGCACGCTGGGCTGAGCCCTGTGAGCAGAGGCCCTGAGGTAAGAGGTGGCCTGTTGTCTGTCCTCTGCTGTCTGTGCTCCACTGTGGCAGAGCCCCTGGGGTGGGGAAGGGAGGAAGGAGGGGACCCCACTCACAGGGTCCGTGCTCCCTCTGGCTTGGCCTCCAGGGCACCGTGGCCTGAGGATTATGCCCTTAGCCCTCCCCGCATGGGACTCTTTCTGGGAAAGAACTTGTAACCAAGGAGGAGGTCACAGAGTGGCCTCTTCCTGCAGACACAACAGGGCGGCCCCCCTGCACACGTGCACAGATGGAAAGCAGGTCGACACCCACCACCCAGTGGATGCTGAGGAGAACACTGCGACCTCCTCAGTGTGCACGAGCGTGGGCACACGCACCACAGACCTGTGTTCTTGTGGACTCATGTCAAGCAGAGCCCTGTGTTCCAGAGAGCACTCAGGCACACATGTCCCTCGTCCACAGGCGGCACCAACCAGCACATACCAATGCCAGAGCAGAACAGGTGTGCACCAGAGACGCTGTGCACACGCAGGAAGGGTCAGCAGGCACCCGGAGGTGCACCAGGCATCCGAACTGCACGGGGTAACTCACACYGTCGTGGACACAAACGCACACCTCACGTCCACACAAGAGATGGGCAAAGCCAGGGCACAAGGGACTGAAACCCTGCGCCTATTCACAGTGTATCAATCCCTCAGCCAAAAGTCTTCCACGCCACACGTATTTTAAAACGTGAAGAAAAAACTGTAGGAAGAAACAACAGCTTAAGAATTGCCACAAAACGTCAGGAGAACATCCTCTTACCACTGACTGGAATAGATTAATTTTCCCCATTTCATATTCTAATTATAATTCCTTTTCCCATTGCCATCTTCAGTCCTCATTACAGCTGGAAGATTGTTCTGCAAAAGCCAGGCCTTCATCTTCTCTTCCCAAGAGTTTTGTCATGGAAATGAGTTTTGGAATCTGAAAGAACCCACATTTTTGCAAATATCGAATGTGTGAGGATAACCCTTTCATGACGGCCACCAAGGACACGGCTCACAGAGACTTCTAAAACATCTGTCTCCGCCACATTGTGTGGCTCCCCTCAGCGAGAGGGGCTCCGGGCCCCTATTCCAACAGTCACCCTCCAACTTAAGCACCATGTTCTCCCTGCCCCCAAGAATTTGTTGTTGTTTTTTTGTTTTGTTTTGTTTTGTTTTTATCTTAAAGGAAACTTAACAAATACATGGCCTAAGTGAAGAGTGAGGAGC